TGTCAAGGCCGAGGAGGATCGTTATCATTTTACAATAATTTATTGCGAATAGCCTACGCTACGTGATACTACAAAAAATAATTAATTAAAAATAGTAATATTTATAAATAAATATTAAATTTATTTATTTTAATGTTATTACTTATTTATTATTTGTGATCTATTAATAAACAAACATTTCAATAAAAAAATTTACTATTTAAAATATTGATCTTTAAAAATGTATTATAAATTAATTTAAGTATAATGCACACATAATACGGAAAATAGTGTATTATGTTTGTTGTGTGTTTCACTGACCAAATAGTAATAGTAGTCAGTCACCGTCTTTAAAAATGCAATTATGACATTCGCTGAATTTTACTTTGTCCGAAAAAATGATGTTGTAAGTCACTCCATCCAAAAAAATCTCAAATTAAAAGTGATAAGTTTAAGTAATATCCGATCACTATTGTTATGTCTGATGACTAACGTTTAAATCGTGTTATCTTTCAATTAATTTTAGAGATAAATAAATGAGAATTCTTAACTTCGTATCCAGTAGACGTGATCCGTTAACAACATTGGCGCGAGTGTTAAGCCGTGTTCCAGTTTCTCCGGAACTAATCACTGGTGGGCAATACAGTTTATCTAAAATTATAAGATAGCTAATCTTTATGATGATGAGTTAAGTTTTCCTAACTAGAAAACGTGAAAATTATTTTTGGGAGTTTGTGCCGCGCCTGCGTGGAATACGTTCGTGTGTCTAGTTGCTACAAATTCTGTTATCAAAATTCGTTCTTAAAAAATTTGTGATTGGCCAATTTATCAAGTTTCAATTCCTTATTACTCTAGTGCAGTATATATGGACTAACTCCGCCAAGTGGGAGGTTTTAGAGTGAAATAGTACATGTTTGCGCAGTTCCTAAGTCGAAAAAGTGATAACTTGAGGGTACATACATTCGAGAGTCTCGAACCCCGTTCATTTTGATCGTGAATAACCGCTGTACTAAAATCGCTAAAGAATTGCTTAAGCGCACTACAAAATTACGCTCGACTTCGTGCTCACTACTGACGTCATCGACATTCATAACTTCGTTTAATTTGAACTCCTTATAAAATATTAACGCTAGAATGTCGAAGTGCGCTGCTTGCAGGAAATTTGTGAGTCCGGCTGATATTATTAAATGTAGCAGTTGTGCTAATATTTATGACAGAATTTAAGAAAACAAAACCAAGACAACAACATTTACCCTAACAATAGTATTCGAAATAATGAACCTCCTGACATGGATCAAAATCCAGAATCACCTAAGAAAACAAAAAAAAAGGGTAAGAAATCCAGCGGCTTGGAGGAAAAATCAACGTGCTCAGCTGAAGAATTCAGGTCAGGAGTATATTTCTCGGACGGGCAAGATCATTCTTGCTAAAGAGATTAAGCCCCCGTGCTCTAACAAGCGCAAACATAAATGTTCAGAACACATCTCAGAGGAGCAAAGATATGATATTTTCAAAATGTATTGGGATTTATCCTCTCTCCAAAGACAGCGTGATTTTTTGAATTCGACAATAACTGTGCTACAACTGGCACAACGTCGTTTGAAAACTGGTGTAGAAAAGAACAGAAAACCTAATACTTATTATTCCTTGATATATAATGGTAAGAGTTTCAGGGTATGCAAATTATTTTTGTTGAATATATTGGGGATTTCCGAACGTACTTTACGTACCGTAATCGAGGCCAAGAGAAATAATGAATCTAAAGGCGTAGCACCAATTGACAAACGCGGCTGCCGTAAAAACCATAGAAAAACTAGTTCTGAGGTACAAGAGTCTGTTCGGATTCATATAAATTCAATTAGTAGAATTGAAAGCCACTATCTCCGTGCTAACACCACTAGAGAATATATTGATGGTGGCCTAACAATAGCTGATCTGCATCGCGATTATAAGAGATTAAGAGAATCCGAAAACAAAGAGGCTGCAACTTACGATTCATACTTTCGCATATTTAATACGGAATTCAATATTTCTTTTTTTGTGCCAAAAAAAGACCAATGCGATATCTGTGAACAATATAAAAAATGCTATTGGTGAGGAGAAAGAAAAACTAGAGGCTGACTACACAGAACATTGCCGGCAGAAAGTACTTAGTCGAATGGAAAAGAAGACTGATATAGAAATATGTAAGAATACAGATAGTAACGAAATAGTTGCAATTTATGATCTTCAAGCAGTCATGCCAGTGCCAGTCGGCGAGTCCTCGTCTTTTTACTATAAATCAAAATTGAACTGCTTTAACTTTACAGTATGTACCTATTATGGCTCAAAATATTATTTTATGCACTTTTTTATGAATAGTTTTTTTTTTTATTTTTATTATTCACAAAATCCACAGCTTGTAACAATCTATTTACACACAAATCTTATAAAATAGGTCTTGAAGCCAATTACGGATTTACAATATACGTATTTAGCTTAAAAGAACGTCACAGAGTATTCACCACCTTACTTAAAAATAGATGTATGAAAAATAAACATATTTAAAGGTAAACAAAGCGCACGAAATTTATTTAAATGCAGAATATTGTGTATGTTTGCACACGTATGTGAAAGTGAGTCAAAAATGTGCGTGTGTGTGTGTGTGTGTGTGTGTGTGTGTGTGTGTGTGTGTGTGTGTGTGTGTGTGTGTGGGCGTGTGTGTGTGTGATCGATACAATTTTTAATGAAATAACGATATTTTAACATAAATAAATATACGTTATAAATATAGACATGATGTATGTAAATTATAGCGTATATATATGTATCCAATTAATACCTGCTACAAAAACTTTCTTGTATTTATAATGTTATTGCTATTTGCTATTTAAATTTATAGATTAGTTTATAATTTGACATATTTTTGCAAATCACCTTGGCAACTTCACGTTTGAATGAAGGTTTACTAGAATGAAAGATATCAATTTTATTAAATGTTTTATTATAAATTCTGTGAAACCTATTGACAATCGAATTTTGAGCATAGTTAGTTCTTTTAAGGGCAGTAGCAAAAAGTGTCGTATGTCTAGTTCGTTTATTTGGAACACAAAAACTTAAAATTTGTAACGCTAATTCACAACAGTCTATGTAGTTATTACATATGCCGTGTAAGAAGGACATATCCATTAAGGTTCGTCTACTTTGAAGAGGCATGAAATTATAGCAGAGACTAGATTCGCTATCATCTGAAAAGTGACGAGAAAAACGAAAATGTAGGTGCTTTAAAAATTTTAACTGAATATTCTCTAGCTTTTGAATATACGTCACATATTGAGGATTCCATATTATACTATTATACTCCAGAATACTTCTGACATATGCAAAGTATAGTACTCGTAAACATCCAATGTCTGAAAAGGGCTTACTGACTCGTAAAACAAAACCTAAATTTTTGTATGCTTTCGCGACTATTGTATCGATATGTTCGGAAAATGTTTTTAGTTTACCTATAAAACCGTCTTGTTTTATAGGTATCAGATGTAAAGGACCGACAAACCTATTGTTACTTTTGGCATGAGGCTATGGGAGGTATAGGAGCAATTGAGATTGGTTCCTGTATCCTTAAATACCTGCAAAGTGTCGTTAATAATCACCCTGGTTGTAACATCATATTTTATAGCGACAATTGTGGCGGGCAACAAAAAACAAGTTCATTTCATTTGTTAAGAACTTTTTTGTAGTTTTATGCAGTGTCTAATATTTTCTATTTTTTTTTTAGATTTATATTTTCCATGTACTTGTATGCAGTCAAAACTCTACCAATCAATAAAATCACGCACAAATTTTTAATAAGGGGACATACCCAAAATGAAGGAGATACGGCCCACTCCATAATTGAAAAGGCAATAAAAAGAGCTAAAAAATCGGGCGCTATTTATGTACCAGATCAGTATGTACAAATAATAAGATCTGCAAAGATAAAACGTAACCAATTTATTGTTGAAGAACTGAATTTCGATGATTTTTATGATTTGAAAAAATTATCGGACGAAATCGAACTTAACACTGTCAAAGATGTAGAAGGAAACACCATAAAATCCTCAGATCTGAAAGCAATAGAATTTACAAAAAACAATAATGCAGTATACAAGTACAAACTCAAATTCGACGATAACTGGAATGATGCTGAAATAAAAAAAAAGATACAAAGATCTACTAGTCAACGAATAACTAAGGCTATAGAAGATATCAATGTGGTTCCAGCGTATACTTCAAAAAGAGAAATTTCCGCAAACAAGATAAATGATTTAAAAGAACTGTTACAAAAAAACATAATTCCTCGGTATTACTCAGCTTTTTATGAAAGTATTTTCTAAAGTTTTTTGTTTCTATTGTTTAAGTATTTTTTACACCTATGCGCATACTAGCGCATATCACTTAGTTAAAAGTAGATAAGCAAATAATCTGTGATTTTGTGCCAATAAGACTTACAAATTGTGATCATAGTTAAGTATTAAGATGTTTCCCCTTTTAATCTTAAGTAAACCTAGTGAACACAGGATATACCTACATGGATGTTTTTCCTTAAGTTTTGTTTTAAACATTCATAAATAAATGTTTACGTTGATTAATTAAATTATTTAGTTTTATTTTGTCTCAAATGCAAAATTTCCTAGCAGAGGCGTTATTTTTTATATTGAATTCTGAAGCAACAGTGACGTATTTACAGGTACTTTCTTTTATTTAGGTCTATAATCTTGGTTATGTACAATGTACCGAGTAGATTGGTGCTATAATAGAAACTACATATATTGGACTTAAATTTAAAATCACGACGATTGTAATAAGTCCCTTCAAAATGTCATACCTTTAATAGAAATCTTTGATTGGGTCTCCTGTAAAATTTCTAAAAGTGTAATTACGTCATTGTTGCACCAAATGGGCGAAAGTTCGACAGGCTTTACCTTGCCGTCAGCGACTTAAGTAAGCGAGTTGATGGAATAGAGAATCGGGTGGCTAATCTCGAAAAAGACGAATGCATGGAAAAATACAAGGATGAGAACAAAAAGCTAAGCGATACATTGGAGCGTTTTAAGTTCGAGTTGAACGATCGTGATCAGGAACAGCTCCTTACTGATGTAGAAATAAGTTGTATACCTGAGCATAAGGCTGAGAACGTGACTCAACTTGTTATGCTTATTTGTGAAAAATTAAATGTGAAAATTGAAGAACAGGACATTGTAAGCATCCAGCGAATGGGTCCACTGCGAGGTTATATAGAAGGAGAAGGCGCTGTTCAGCCACGACCGCTTGCTGTGCGCTTGGCGCACCGAACGCTGAGCGACCGTCTGTTACAAAGCGCGCGTGTCCGTCGCGGTGCCGATACTACAGTTTTTGGCCTGCCGGGTTCGCCGAAGAAGTTCTATATAAATGAGCGTCTTACCCGTATAAATCGCCAATTATTCTTCAAGGCCCGTCAAATGGGCTCTAAAAGTGGTTGGAAATATGTGTGGACACGAGACGGTCGCATTTACGCGCGACGAGATCAGAACACGGAGGCACGCAGAATAAGATGTGAAATCGATCTTGTCAAGTTTTTGGCGAACCGGTGGTTGGCTAAACTTGGAGCTTTTGCTTTTCTGTTGTTTTTTTAACTGTTTGCTGAACCTATTTTTTTAAACTATTGGTGCTTGCATATTTAACAAAATTTTTGAAAATGATTTTTAGATTAATATGTCTATGCCCTACTCGTTTTGTCTTGTATAATACTGTACTACACTTTTTAACATTATTGAACAAATTATTTGTAAGTGCTGTGACGCTGATGATACATAATGCATATTATTATGTATATACGTATATTATACATGTTATACGTTTTATATTTTCCGGTTTAAAATGCTCTCTTTATTTTTGCCCATATTTTATAATATTCTATATTATCATAATAACTTATGTCATAAACAACTATTTAATTTATTATACAACACCGATATTCAATTACACTAACTATATAAATTATGATATTCAACTTTTCAGAAAAATATTAGATAACACGAAATTTGATTTATTATACGGTTATAGCTATAGCTACGGTGCTGCCCTGTTTGTGTATATGTGTGTATGTGAGTGTGTTTGTATAAGTATGCTTATGTATGTTTATATGCATATACTGAAGTTGCTCGTGTCCCTGTGTTCAGATATATATTATACTCTCTGTGCAAAATGGCGCCTAAAAATCAAAAGCTGAAGGTTGGTTTTTAAATCCGGGTTCTTTGGGTACAAGGCATGAAGACTTCATTGTGGCAGTGGTGCAGCATGATGTAGATATCATGGCTATAAACGAGACCTGGCTACGTGATGGAGAACAAGGTCGCGCGCCATCTATCCCCGGTTACCGCTTGCGTCATATTCCACGTTCAAGTACCACGCGCGACGTGGTGTTGGGGTTGGATTCTATGTACGTCATGGACTCGCCGTAAAAACGTGTGTATTTCCTTCCGCAACATCAGTTGAACAAATGTGGCTTAATTTAACTGTTAACGGCATAAATCTGATAATAGGTACTGCTTATAGACCACCATGGCTTGACGTAGACATATTTTTTGACGCACTTACTGATTCAGTATCATCTTTTGCCCATCGCGATAATATTGTGCTCTTGGGTGACTTTAATATAAATTTACTGGTAACTGACAAGAATACTCATAAATTTGAAAATTTTACAAAATACCTAAATTTAACCCAATATGTAAATGAACCTACACACTTTACTCCTTACAGTGCTACATTAATTGATTTAATATGCACCGACCTACCAATCTCTAACGTAACCGTCGATTACATACCAACTCTAAGTAATCATGCTTTCTTAACATGTAACTTTAAAATCAATAAGCCAAAATGTCAACCATTTCAGTTCATGTATCGCCCAGTGAAAGACATAAATCGTGATAGTTTTAATTTCGAAATAGAAAGGATCGACTGTGATTCTATAGCCCCATTACCTCATGTAAATGATACGGTTTCTCAATTCAATTTAACATTGTTAAGCCTGTTTGACCAGTTCGCGCCACTAAAGCTCAAGCAAGTAAAAGAACGTACATATCCATGGATTACCTTTACTATTCGAGAAATGATAAAACTGCGGAATGAAGCACATAATCGTTTTCGCTTAACTAGATTAGAGAAGCATAAAAGTTATTACAAAGAACTAAAGCATGCTGTAAACTCAGCGTTATACCGCGAAAAACAGGCCCATTTTAATCAACATATAAACCACAATTTAACTAATTCTAAAGATCTTTGGATCAATCTTAAACGGACAATAAACATATCAGAAAAATCTAGAGACTATGTAATTCCTGACCAACTCAACGATCCGGATTTGATTAATTCTCACTTTTGCAATATACCTGGAAATGATTCAGCACCCGATTCAGAACATGTTTTCTTTGGCTCCCATCGATTTTGTTCTTCAACATTTGAGTTAAGTGTTACAGACGAAAACACAATAGCCAAAATAATTAATTCATTTAAGTCAAACGCTTTGGGCGCTGACGGCATATGCCTGGATATGGTTGTTTTAACACTTCCTTACACACTAAAAGTAATCACCGCGATAGTTAACAGATCGATAACCACGTCTTATTTCCCTGACGTCTGGAAAACCGCTTTGGTTACACAAATTCCAAAAACCAATAGCATTATAAATTTCAAAGACCTGCGCCCTATCAGCATCCTACCCTGCTTGTCGAAAATACTAGAAAGAGTAGTATGTACACAGCTTGAAGCGTACTTGGAGAGTACATACTACATACGACATACTACCAAAACTGCAGTCTGGTTTTAGAAAGCATCACAGCACAACAACAGCACTATTAGACGTAGTGGCCAATATTTTAGCATCTCAAGATATAGGTGAAGGAACAATCATGATACTACTTGATTTCTCACGAGCTTTCGAGTCCCATAACATCGAATTATTATTGTCCAAGCTTTCCTACTCGTATTATGGATTCAATCCAACCGCAATCAAGTGGTTCTCCAGTTATCTAAATGATCGCTTGCAGTTGGTAAAAATAATTATTATATATTACCTTGTCATGTAACGAGAGGAGTTCCACAAGGATCCATACTAGGCCCTCTTTTATTCATACTGTATATAGCAGATATTAGTACAGCCATTCAGAACTGTAAATATCATATGTATGCAGACGATTTGCAGGTATATCTTTTCTTTGTACCAAGTCAAACTAACTGGGCTGTTAATAACTTAAATAGAGATCTAACGAAAATCGCCCAGTGTTCAGAAGCCAACACTCATCATTCTCTAAACCATTTCCTATTATCTGGGGTCGGCGCAGTAAATCTTCTTGTTCCATTCCTCTCTATCAGCCGTCATTTCCATACTTACTCCTTTCATTCTCATATCACTCTTCACACAATCGATCCATCTTTTATTCGGCCTTCCTCTGCCCGTGTGTCCCTCCACATTCATATTCAACACTCGTTTTGTGACATGACTTTCATCCCTCCGCATCACATGCCCAAACCATGCCAATCTGCTTCCTCTCACCTTTTCTACCACTGGCGCTACTTTCAGGCTTCCTCTTATATACTCATTCCTTATCTTATCCATCCTTGTCACACCACACATCCATCGTATCATTCTCATTTCATTCGCATGCAGTCTATTTTCATCCCTCTTCTTGACGGCCCAGCATTCACTTCCATACATGACGACAGGTCGGATGATCGATTTGTAAATTTTCCCCTTCAGCCTTATTGGCATTCGGGGATCGCACGTTGTGGCTGTGACCTGTCGCCATTTCATCCACCCTGCGTTAATCCTATGCTGCACAGCTCTATCTATTCCGCCGTCGCCTTGAATGAGGGAACCGAGGTACTTGAAATCTGAGCAGGTAGGCAGTATAGCGCCATCCAACGTAATGGGTACAGGACTGGAAAGACCGCCGAAATCACAGCACAGATATTCGGTTTTGGATCTGCTGATCTTCAAGCCAACACTTTCCAGCCTCTGTTGCCACCCCGTCAGTCTGCTCTGTACCTCGATGCCTTCTTCCCCGACAAGCACGATGTCATCGGCAAAGAGCATGCACCAGGGTGCCTCATCCACTGCAGGTCCGACGTCAAAGCGTCCATAATCAGTAGGAAGAGGTAAGGGCTCAATGCCGACCCTTGGTGCAGCCCTACCGCCACATCGATACTGCCCAAGTTCCCGCGGCAGATCGTACACATGTACGGGATGCTCTGTACATAGCAAGGACTAACCTCACACACTTCCCAGGCATACCTTTCATCTTTAACGCCCACCACAAAACCTCACGGGGAACCCGATCGTACGCCTTTTCAAGGTCGACAAAAACCATGTGCAGATTTTTATGCACGCGCTTGTACTTTTCGCACAATTGGCGTAATGCGAAAATGGCATCTGTCGTACCTCGACCGGGCATGAATCCGAACTGGTTTTGTGTTATCTCACACTCTTCTCTCATTCTTTTCTCTATTATTCTTTCCCAGACTTTCATCGTATGTGACATGAGTTTTATTCCACGGTAACTGCTGCAGTTTTGAACGTCTCCTTTGTTTTTTAAAAATGGGGACCAGTATACTACTGCACCATTCCTCAGGTATTTGTTCTTCCTGCAACAATTTACCGAAAAAAAAACTCAACCACTTCCATCCATCCGCACTCAGCAACTTCTACACTTCTACTGGTATTCCATCTGGGCCGACCGCCTTCCCATTCTTCATATTCCTAACAGCCATTTTTACTTCTTCCACACTAATTTCTCTCACTAAGCCCATATTCACTGGTGGGTTTTCAAGCATACCATTCCATTCATTCTCCTCATTCATCAATTTCTCAAAATACTCCTTCCATCGCTTCTTTATACTTTTATCGTCAGTCAAAATCCTTCCAGAATCATCTTTTATACATTTTACATGTGAAACATCTCTTCCATTCCTTTCCCTCGCTTTTGCAATTTGAAAAAGTCGTTTTTGACCTTCGGGGCTTTCAAGGGACCGATATAATTTATCTTGCGCCTCTGCCCTACAAATAGCAACTTCCTTCTTTGCTCTCTTCTTACATTCTTTATACGCCCCTCTCTTACTTTCTTTTATGGAATCATTCTGGTCTTCTACGCTCTGCCATTCTTTAAAGGCATTTTCTTTTTCTCTCAAAACTTCTCTAAAACTTTCACTCCACCACCACCCATCCTTATCTATCATACGCTTCCCTTTTGTTTCTCCTAACACCTTCCTTGCCACACTTCGGATACAATCAGCCATTTCCTTTCGCACTCATTCACACTCATTCCTTCCATATCACCCATCTCTATCATCTTGTTTACAACTAGCTCTCTAAATTCACTTGCATACTCCTCCTTATGCAACAAATGCCACTTTATTTTGGGTGGGGGACGATCCTTATGTTTGTTGAGGCGAACAGTTAAGCAGATGTCAGCCAGCAGAATTCGGTGCTGGGATACTAAGTCTTCACCTGGAAGCACTTTGCAGTTTTTTACACTCTTGATTTGGTTCCGTCTTATCAGAAGATAGTCGATCTGTGTCGCGTGGTGGCCACTTTTATAAGTAACAAGATGCTGATCTCGGTTTTTGGAACCAC